TGGTGCATGTGGAGTCCAGAAGAGGGTGTTAAGTCCTCTAGAACTAGAGGTACAGGTAGAACCAGTGCTGTTAACCACTGAGCCATCTCTCCAGCCCCTGGCTCAGTAATTAAGAGCACTTGTTAGTCTTGCAGAGGACTGATCCACGCTGCAGCTACCAACAATCCTTAATGCAGTGCCTTCCTCTGATCTTCTTGGGCACCAGGCATGCTCATGGTACATGTACATACATGCAGTCAAAACTTTCATATAATAAAAAATAACTAGGAAAAAATACAGGTTTGGAGCCTAGGAATGTATGTATCTCAGTGTTATAATGTTTACCTAGCACACACAGGCATTACTTTGCATTCTTGGCATAAATGTTAAACATGCCTTTCATTACAGAAGAATACGGTAAACCAGAATTGGGGTGGGGGGATTAGAATAGAGTCTGACTGTTTGGCCTGGAACTCAGAGTACTCTTCCTTCAAACTCTGAAAGGGCTGGGATTTCAGGCTTCAGCAGCCACCATGTGCAACTGAGCTTTCATATTAGACATGAACTTTCCAACATTCATTAAGCAATAGTTCTGTGGCCACAAAAAAAAAAAAAAAAAAAAAAAGGTTTTTACATTCCTCGAATATAAGGACTTGTGATGAGGTCATCTCCCCCTACACCCCTCATCTTAGAGTTTCTATTGCTCTGATGAGACAACATGATCACTGAAACTCTGATAATGGAAAATGTTTAACTGGGGCTTGCTTACAGTTCAGAGGTATTTAGGCTATTATGATGGGAAGCATGATGGCATGTAGACAGGCATGATGCCAGGGAAGTAGCTAAGATTCTACATCTGGATCTATGTGCAATAGGGAGAGACGGTGACACAAGGCCTGGCTTGAGCTTCTGAAACCTCAAAGGCCACTCCCTATGAGCCTCTGGGAGCCATTTTCATTCAAACCACCATACCCATTATGGCAAAAATAGGACCTTATCCACTGAGCTGAATGCCCAACCCCTTGAACCTTTTGGTTTTATTAAGGTTGGGTAGTGGCCGGGTAAAGGTAGACTACTTTACTATTTTACTTGTGTATTTTAAATCATTCTTTTACATCATTTCAGATCAAAAGTTCATGGTATTACTTATTTCAGAGCTCAGTGTAGTGATGCATACCTATAATCTCACCCCTCAGAATCTTAGTGTATTATTATTATTATTATTATTATTGTATAATGGCTATTCTTCTATATTGTCCCTGTTTAAAGATGAAGAAACAGCTGATGGTTGGCACAGTCTTGTAACCCTGGTTCCCAAAAGCTAAGTCACAGTGACTTGGCATCTCATAAAGTTAATCATTACTTTTCAGTCCTAATGTCATAATATCAGTCTCTTTTAATGGGCCTATTAGAATATAGGCGTTGCTTTTTTTTATTTTATTTTGTTTTTTATTTTCTTCCTCCCCTCTCTTTAAAACAGGATTTCACTATGCATCCCTGGCTTGCCTGGAACTCAGATATCCTTCTGCCTCTGAGTTACTGGGATTAAAGGTGTGTGCCACCATACCTCATTCATGTCTTAATTTAAAAATTAACTTAATCTTTGTGGCTTGAGAAAAGCCTCACTGATGTGTCATGTTGAAAAGGTACTATATTATAATTTGCCTTTTTAAATGAATTATTCTTTTCAACTGACTTCTTTAGGTCATACGAGGAAACAGCATCATCATGTTAGAAGCCTTAGAAAGAGTCTAAACAATGGCTGTTCAGCAGAGGAATTCACATCCTTCCCCAAAGGACTGTTTGTCTGGGGTGTAGAATTGGGTCACGTACATTTTCATAAGAAACTTTTTGCTAAATAAACTTTTGTGATACTCAGAGTGTGTTTCTGGAGTTCTGAATGTTGTGTGGTTACTCTTCTCTCACCGGATCTTCTTGGCCAAGCTGTTTCCTACATTCAGGTGGAAGCTTCTGGACTCAGTATGAAAGGAGATAAGTAATCAGGCACTGAGCAGATGAACTGCAAAAGTGTGGCTTTCAAACACTAGTTCTAGTGCTTTTGACTTCTATGACTCCAAATTTGGGTTGAGTTCCTTTTGCAAAATTTTTTAGGACAAACGGGTTTCATATTTTAGAATATGTATTTATATGCCATGTACTGTGTTAGGATGGGAGCTTTGTTATTTTTCTATTATTGTGAAGAAAAACCATGGCCAATTTATAGGAGGGGGAAAAGTTTATTGGGGACTTAAAATTTAGAAAATGAGTCCATGTCCAGCATGGCAAGCAGGCCTGGTGCTGGAGCAGTTGCTGAGAGCTTATATCTGTAGGCAGAGAACTAACTGGGAATGGCCTGGACTTTCGAAATCTTAAAGCCCACCTCTAATAGCACATCTCCTAATCCATCCCAAACAGTTCATCAACTGGGGACCAAGTACTCAAATACATGACCCATGGGCAGTTCTCAGTGACACCACCACAGGACCCAAACCTAAACAAGAAATTCATTATTTCCTATTCATAACTATATATGTTGCTTATTGATAATATTACCTTTTTTGTTATGGGTATATATGTGTGGAGATAAAGGGACAGCTTGGCAGCAAGTACCTATACCAATGAACCATTTTGCTAGCTGAAGATGGAGTTTCTGTCCCACCTGGTCCCCCAGCTGATTCACCACAAATAAACACACGGATGCTATATTAATTATTATTAAGCTGTTTGGCTAATAACTAGGGCTTCTTACTGGCTAGCTCCCTCTTAATTATTAATCCATTTCTATCTGTATTGCCGTGAGGCTGTGGTTTACCATTAATCTGGCATGTTACTCCTTCAGCAGTATGGCGTCTATCTGGCCACCTCTCTCTGCCTCTCCCCAGCCTTCTGGTCTGGTAGCCCTGCCTATGCTTCCTGCCTGGCTATTGGCCAGTCAACCAGTAAGAGAAATGTATATATAGAAGGACATCATCAGCTAGCCTATACAATATTTTTGCTTGATTTTTGAGTGCAACAAGTTACATGAGTTACAGCTCTGTCTTGGAACTTGCTGTGTAGATCAGGCTGTCCTTGAACTTATAGATAGCTTCTGCCTCCCCAGTGCCAGGATTGTGTATGCCACCATGCCTTGTTTGTGGAGAGGAATTAGGAATCAGAACAACCTTCCTTTATATAGCCATTCCACCCAGCTCATCAGGTACATAGGCCTCACAAACTGGAGGCTGCATTCTAGCCCTCAGTCACTCTAAGCAAAGACTTGAGGATTTTTTTGTGACTGGGTAAGGAAAGCCTAAGTTAGAAACTGAAGCAGGGTGGTATGTGCACAAGGGAACTTCTAGAACAGCAGAGTGCCTCTGAGAAGCCATGCTTATAGGTGGCTGCCATGTGCTCAGCTAAAACTAGTTGTGGTTTCAAGTGCTTTAATCTCAGGCAGAGGTAGGTGGATATCTAAGTTCAAGGCCAGCCTGGTCTACATGGTAAGCTCCAGACCAACTAAGGAACAGTGAGACTCTTGCTTTGTTTGTGGCTCCCAGGAATGAAGCTTCTGTGAAACAGTGGCAGTTGTATTACACATCTGTTGGATAGCACAGCCCATTATTCAGGCAACTCTGAGAGTCATTTAGTTTTCCAGTATATAGGCAGCCATCCTTTGTAACCAAGTTTGTCTGAAGTCAGTTCCCAGGTCCAGGTCTATCCTGTGACTGTCATTGGCTCCCTCACCTTGAGTGTAAATATTGTAGGGTTCTGCTAAGAAAAAGAGGAGGTAGTTCTCAGCAGGTAGTGAGAAAAGGTTTCACATTCCTGAGCCAAATAGAAATTTTCTCTCAGTACTGTAGTTTTTCTAGATCATCCTGATCATTTGAAGCCTACAGTTGAAGCCTGTGTATGGCTCACCACTGCACAATTTGGAATGCTCCATTCCCCTTACTCCATCTCTCCAAACCCCACCCACTGAATAAAGGAAAGGTGCTGTCTTTATTCCCAGCACTTAGGAGGCAAAGGCAGGATCTCAGTTCTAGGCCAGCCTGTTCTACAAGAGTGAGTTCCAAGACAGCCAGGACTGTTACACAGAAAAGCCCTGTCTCCAAAAAACAAAAACTAAAAAATATTTTGGGGGGCTAGAGAGATGGCTCAGCAGTTAAGAGCTCTAGGCTACTCTTCCAGAGGTCATGAGTTCAATTACCAGCAACCACATGGTGGCTCACAACTATACATTATAGATGTATAATGAGATCTGGTGCTCTCTTCTGGCCTGCAGGCAAACATGCAGGTAGAATACTGTATGCATAATAAATAAAATCTTTAAAAATAAATAAGGAAAGGTGCCAAAAAGCACAGTTACTTAGCTACTATTGCAGCTTCCCCTGCTCCTTGAAGTTGCCAGCCATTCATATCCCTGCCTATGAACTTAGCTTTTGACCATAATTGGGCACAAACCCAGCTTGTGGCAGACATACAGGCCTACAACCTGTAAAATCTTGCTGTAGTTTGGGCTGTGACTTCTCTGGCCTCTAATCTCTGGGGCCAGAGAACCTATTGGGAGTTGCTCTTAATAAACCTGTTACTCTTCTTCAATTCAGCTTGACCTGGCTTACCTGCACCCTTTTATTTTCATTTAATGATTCTCACTATGTGTTAGGGGAGTTCTCTTATGCCTTTCCTTTGGGAAATTTTGTGTAGACTTTGAAGAATGAAAATGTATAAAATGGCAGCCTCTTTAAATAATACTTGGGGTGGGGGAAATCCCTGCCTCCACAGAAGCATATAGTGTGATGACTCAGAAATCACCAATGTGTCCTCCTGGTTACATGAAGAACAGAAAGGTTGAAGATTTGGTAATTGGACACACCTCACTCCAAGTTTGAAGGTCGTGCAGTCCAGATCCAGAGTCTGAGGCCTTAAATTAAGGTCAAGAGTTCACTGAATAAGTGTAGAGGAGCCAGAATGGTATCATAATGGAAAAAGAGTAAGACATCAAGACCTTCCCTTTTGGGAGCTGAGGCAAGCAGGCCCATATATTAAGACTAAGATTTCCTGGGATGTGGGCTTAGCCTACCCCATTTCCCCTCAGCAGAGCCTAGAATAAAAAGGCCAAGCCTGCTTCCTCATGGGATGAGTGTTTGAGGAAGGAGCTTCACCCAGGGTAGCCCAGCCTCACATTTTCTTGACCCTGCTAACTTGGCAGGAGGAGCTGGTGAACAGGATGAAAAACTGATAGGAAAAAAAAGACTAAGACACAAACTGGTCACAATTAGGGAACAGCTCAGTGCTTACAGAGCATCAAGCTCTGTAATTGCCCTTAATCATGTAGTGCAGTGTCTGGTCCTCAGAGAAGTCCTTTCCCAAGGCCAGGTGAGGATAAGTGCCTTGAAAAAAGTTCCTGCTTGCTAAAGCAGTCTTTCCCCCTTTTTTCTGGCAGGAGGAACTTGTGGCCTTTGCACTGAGGTAAGAGGGCTCCTGGTGGAGTTGCTGAACCTTTGAGAACAATAGGCATTTAGATACTTGCTGAACTTAAAACTTTTGTCTTGGGGTGGGGAGCAAATGCTGGAATAAAATTAATGGCCACTTTCATCCCTGAATCATTGAGCCTGCTAAACTACTGTGTAATTATAGAGTATAATAGGTATAGCCTTTTTCAATAAACAGGCAGCCATCCCAATTGGCCCTCAAATCCCTCTCAGATCCTATCACTCTCCTCCTTGGCTTCTTTGGGACTTGAAACCCTCTAGAGCTGGATTCTGGCAGGTCTCTGATTGTTCAGTTTCTTTAAGAGGGCCCAACCTCCTAGTTGGAAAGCATATGGTGGGTCCTAGGGTAAGAATTTCAATTAAACTCGTTGGCTAGAAGCCCAGAGACTTTCCTCTGCTGCCCCCAGCAATGGGGTTATGGGCATCTAGGCACACCTAGGCCTTGCCCCCTGGATGAAGGGGCAGAGTGCATCACTCCTCACTCCTGCTCTCATGGTAAGCAGGACCCTGGCTCTGTACATGGCTGCAAAAGGCCCCTTTAAGAGACAATCTCCACCTACTTCCTGCCCCCCCCCCCCACACACACACACACACACTCTTCTTCCCTTCCCCCTCTCCTTCACTCCCTCTCCTCCTTCCAACCTCCCTCACTCCTCTCTGTGTCTCTGTCTTCCTCCCCCACACATGCCATGAGATCTGCCAAGGTCTCCCTGGTACCACATGTCTTAACATCTACATATAGCCTGGAGATCTGAATTTAGGTCCTCATATCTCTTGCCCTCTAAGAGATCTTCCCATCCCCTGCAGGCTCTGCAGTTTGCTCTTTCTGTTAGCTGTCAATCAAGGTGTCTGGGTAGTTTGTATTTCTGAACTGGAACTCTGTCCCTCTCCAGCCCCTCTCCACTCCTTTATTATGGAGACTAAACCAGGACCATTATCTCCTTAAGGAGTCAAACATTACAGTGCTGGGAATAATGTCTTTATGTAAACTGAAGCCACTTGGAGATTTTTTTGGGTTTCAAGGATGTGCCTCACTCAGTCCAGCTGGAGAAAACATCAGCCAGAACCAGTGAAAAATACAGCCTAACTCTCCAATGACCCCAGGAAGCCAGAAGTTTAAAAATACTAAATACCTTAAATTCCAGACCCTGCCCTCAGCCAGTAAATAGGCGAAAGGTCACACTCCTTGCCCATACCTGACTTTGTAAACTGCTTGTGAAACCCCCGCCCCAATGACCTGACCTAACTGCCATTTGTCACCCCACCTAGGAGCCCCCACAAATGCAGACCTCCTGGGCTATAGAAAACTGATTGGATGGTTTAAATTGATTGGTCCACACCGCATGGGCTCTGGATGCTATGAGATGGTTGATTTAAGATGCGCAGGCTTTGTTTGTAACCCTATAAAAGCTGTCTCAATTCTGTACTCAGGGTCCTCAGTCCTCTACCCCTGCGTGGCGAATGACTGTGGACCCCAGTGTACTTGGAATATAAAAGACCTCATGCTTTTACATCAAGACCGCTAATTGTGAGTGATTTGGGGGGCACCTTTCCTGAGTGGGAGCATGAAGGTCCACACTCTGCGGGTCTTTCAATAGTTTCCAGTGATCTTTGGTATCTGGCTGAAATCCATTTGCCAACCTTCAAAAGGATATGGACCCAAAGGGATATGTTGGAGGTTGTTTTGTGCACAGCTGGTAGCTGGGTTGCCTCCTCTATTGTCTGGTGTATCTCTGGTCCTGTAAGGTGTGGTTATTCAGTTAGAGAGTTTCATTGGTAATGAATCCTAGTGAGTGTGGGAGCTGAATCAGACACCAGCTTGCTTGGTGATATGACTATGAGTTTTCCTTTCAATAAAAAGAGTCTTGTCCTATATAACCCATGTAGGTTCTCCCTACCTCTCCTCTGAACACACAAGTGATGATTGAGGTCTGTCCAAGGTCTGGAGATATGTAAAGATGACCTCTTTTTTTACTATTTTATTTTTATGATAGTATGATAGATTTTTTTTCATTCATTATTTTTACATTCATTTATTTTATATGGAGCATCTTGTCTACATTTATATCTGTACACTACATGAATGGAGTGCCTAGTACCCATGGAGTTCAGAAGAGAACATTGAATTCACTAGAACTGGAATTACAGATGGTTGTGAGCCACAATGTGAGTGCTGGAAAATTAAACCTGAGTCCTCTGTAAGAGCAACATATTCTTTTGTTTGTTTTGTTCTTTTATTTTTCAAGACAGGGTTTCTCTGTATGTCTTTGTAGACCAGGCTAGCCTGGAACTCACAGAGATCAGCCTGTCTCTGCCTCCCGACTGCTGGGACTAAGGCGTGCACCACCAACACCACCCAGCTGAGTAATGTGTTCTTTAAAAAAAAAAAAGAAGAAGAAGAAATTATTAATTATGCATACAGTGTTGTGCTGCAGGATGGAAGAGGTTGTGAGCCACCATGTGGTTGCTAGGAATTGAACTCTGGTCCTTTGGAAGAACAGCCAATGCTCTTAACCTCTGAGCCATCTTCCCAGTCCTGAGTAGTGTGTTCTTAGTCATTGAACTGTAGCTAGTCTTTCTTGATAGACTTTCTTTGGACTGCCGGTCCCCAAATAATGACACAAAGACTTATTATTTATGAAATTTGGGGCTTTAGCTTAGGTTTGTTCCCAACTAGCTCTTATAACTCAAATTAACTGCTTCTATCAATCTGTGTTCTGCCACGTGGCTCTTTACTGCTCCTCATTCTGTAAATCCTTCCAATGCTCTCTGTCTCCCTGGCTTCTCCCACCCCACCAGATTCTAACCCTGAGTTCCTCTCTCTGTTTGGAAACCCCACCTATTCTCTCCTGCCTAACTATTGGCTGTTCAGCTTGTTATTAAACCAATCACAGCAATACAGTGAACAAATACCTCACAACTCTGAATGATCTCTGCAGACCCCGTGAAAAGATCTCATATATTTAAGGTTAAATTATATTCCATTGCATGTGTACCTGGTGTCTATTTGCAATCACATTCACATGTGTATCTCCACCTCCCATTTTCCTCTTTTATAATTTATGAAATTTGAGTGCTGTGCTGACTGTAGTTCATTCTTTTTAAATTATTTTTGATTTTATGTTCGTGGGTATTTTCCTGCATGTATGTCTGTGCACACCACATGCTTGAAGTACCCACCGAGACTAGAAAAGGGCATTGAATCCCCTTGAACTGGGGTATAAATGGCTGTAAGCCAACATCTGGATTCTGGGAACTGAACCCAGATCATCTAAGCCAGTGTTCTTAACCAATGAGCCTTGACTCAGCCCTCCTCCACTTTTTCTGTTCTACAAATCAGTATCGTTGTTTTTAATATTTATTTATTTATTTTATGTATGAGTGCATGTACGACTTCATGCCATAAGAGAGTATCAGATCCCACTATAGATTGTTTTGAGCTACAATGTGGTATGTGGTTTCTGGGAATTGAACTCAGGACTTCTGAAAGAGCAGCCAGTGCTCTTAACCACTGAGCCGTCTCTCCAGTCCAGCATCATTATTAATAATGCAAACATCTTTGGGGATCCTGATGTCAGAATTTAAGCATTTACCTTAATCTAGCTGTGTGTCATTTTTATAAGTGAGTTCATTACAGTATAGACATTTAAAAAATAAAACAGGCAAGAGAATGGAACAGATACTTTCCCTAACAAACAAACAAATAGGTACAAGAAAGTAAAACCATTATTCAGAAAAATGCAAAACCACAATCAGAAAAGGTCAAATAAATAAAGCCAATAATAAAGTTAAATACAAACTTGAAGCAATTAACAAGTATTGAGGGTGTGGAGAAATTGAAGTACATTATACTGTTGATGGAAATGAAAATGTCACAACCCTTGGGCCAGTGTAGGAGAGCTTCAAGACTGAAAAAAGAACTGTCATATGTTCTAGCAGCTCCTTTTCTGCGAATATATGACAGATATTTTAAGTCATTATTTACAATGATTTAAATTCAAACCAACGGTTTGTGCTATCACTTCTTTTGAGGCAAGGTCAAGTAGTGCACACCTATAATATCAGTCCTCTGATCTCAGCTACTATCTCAGCACCATAGTAACAATAGCTTATCTCTGTGATAGGGATTATGGTCCCTGTTTAAAGATAAAACCAAACAGGTAAGGTGGCACAATATCCTAGCCCTCAGGAGGCTTGAGTCATGGTGATTTGGCATCCCATAAAGTTTGTAACTCCAGTTTAGATATGCATCTCTTCTAACCGTCTTCTGTGGCTTCATGTCCTCCAAGAGGTCTTCTGTTAGCCTTTCCCCTCCTCCCACCATTTTGTTCCTATGTTCTAATTATATTATACCAAAACTGTAATGTAACTCAGAATACAAACATAGCCTGCTTAAGGCCCAGAGTTCAAACTGAACAAGCCCCCCATGTAGCCCATGCACAGTAGGAATCTCTCCTGTCTAAGACCAGTGGTACTCAGGAAGTAACAATGTGACCGCTTGTGTGTGACCTGTTGTAAAGGGTAGAAATGGGCTTTCAGAACATGTATGCCAGTTCCTCCTGAGAAGAATAATGAGGATGGCAGATGGCCATCCAGCTCAGAACTTACTTGTGCCTCACAGGCCCAAGAGATGCAGGTGACAGTCTTCTAGCCTTCAATCATCCCAAGCAAAGGCTTGAGACATGTTTGTGATC